GCTCAAGTATGCAAAATGTACATAAGCATGTAGCCAGTTCCTAAAGTACCTGGAAATAAAGTCCTCCCGTTCCACTCCACTTCGGCCTGATTGGACGGTTGAATTCCAAACCAGCTGTAACCCGACCAATGGTCAGGTTGCTACCACCATGGACAAGTGTACCTGGAGTCCTTGAGTTCTGAAGAGAAGAATCAAATAATTTTTTATCAGGTTCTCTCCACTGAAAAATATCATAAATTGAAATACACTCCATATCCAAGATTACCTGAACCATTATCGTTCGTGATGTCCTCTTATCATCTCCTTCAATCCACGGGTCTGTGTAGTTTATGCGAAAAGTGAAATCAACTTGACCCCTCTCCAAGGAGACATGGAGCTTCTGATTCCGCCCAAAAAGGTTTCTGTGGGAATATGCAAAGCTGCAACAAGAACAATATTGTTACTAAGCTAAAAAGCTCAGCACTTCATGTCTGTGGAACCTACTGCAACACAATAAAATTGAGTAGTTGCAGATAATCTAATAAATAAAGAGATAAAACAGTGGTACATGAAGGAAAGAGAAACATGCAGACTATTTCTCTCGAGAAGAGAGATTATATGCATGTATTATTTTGGGGATTCCGAAACAGGATATATAGCTTTGAACTTACCTTCCAATAAGGGCTGCTAAAGGGCCAGCACCACCAGTCGTCCTATATTTAGAAACGTGCAAAAGTCAACATTTAATAAAGATAACAGAAAACAACGAATATAGTCAACTGAGAGGAAACATCAGCAAAGATGAAAGATGATTCTTACCCGCATGATAGACCACCACCAGCAGAGAAACCTCCACTTGGACGCTCAACAACGTTCATCAGCAAGTCAACCTTTCCGGCATCTAAACAATTCCAAATATAGGAAAGATTATGAGAGCTAGGTATATAATATGAAAATACATACAGCTCCGCACAATAAAAAAATAGATTACAATGACAATAACTTTGAATCTGACATTTCAATGTTTTCTGAGTTATGGAGACAACTATTGGACTCCACATCCTTGGATTTTCTCTATCTCCAACGGGCCAATGTTAAGCATCCTCTCTTTTAGTTTGGAAGATTTTAGTTCTCCCATTCTCCAATTTCCTCAACAATTTTTTGTCACTTTTTTCTAATTCCACCCCATTTGGATTGCCTCCAACAGCATGCCCAAATACAAAATGTTTAAACAACTTGATGAATAACCCAAACTGGTACCCAGGGTACCCACTTCCTCTATGTTGATATTAATTCCACAAGTAACTATTTTCTCCGTATTTACCTTCAAACCTGATGCCACCTCAAACTCCCTAGCCCCAACTATATATCCAAGTTCAATATAAAAATGAAATTTCCACAAGAACAAACAACGTCAACATTAATTTCATCCTATGACACTGGATCATATGCACAAGACTTTCCATGAAATCAGAAATTTAAGTTGGACCAAAATAATCCAAACCAAGAACAAGTTGGCAACCAGCCAGGAACGCCAAAGCCTTAGTTATGAAATAAACAAACAATACAAGTCAAATGTTCATGTAAAAGGAGAAAAAGATTTTAGTCACCAGCAGCAGGTTGGGGAATAATGCTGACATCTTCCATGATCCCCATGGTTAAGACAGTCTCTGCATCTCTTTTACCTTGAAGCATACTGTAGACCTGAGATAAATAACTACAAGCTTCAATCAGAGTGTATCCACATTAAAAAAAATTGAACAGAAGATTACATATTATTGAGAAACCATCACATTCAAGCTCAAGTGCATCATCCATTAATGTAAACACCATTATGCTAATATAAAGTATACATCTGAAAGCTATAAAGAGAACATGCATACACAGACGCACGTTTCACCATTTTCTTTGTGTGTAAAAAACAAGAGTCTTTATAAATACCAAAAAAAAAGAACACAGAAGGCAGATAAGAGACCCACCATGCTAACCAAAACGCTAATCTAGGAGAACCCTCAATCTTCCCCCACAAAAACCTGACTAAGTTTTGTTTTTTATATAAGAAAAAACCTGACTACTTTCTAGCAACGACTCTCATGTAATGGTTTACACCAATCAAAGAGGTGAAGAAATTGATCATATTCTATAACTAACAGTTAGACACATCACACATGCACCAAATACCTGTCCTTTCTTGGTAGTAAGTTGCCGGAGTATTGTGTCAGGTCTTGTGTTTCCTAAAATCGGCTCCCCACTGAATATAATGACCAGTCAAAAAACTACGAAATACAAACTTTGAAAAGATATAAAGACCATGTCACATTAGCATGTAAATGTGAGGTTGTGCTGCTGCTGTGTGCATTAACGTATCGTGGTTATTAGCATGCCAATTTTGATTATGCAAAAGACAAATTCTTACGTCTTTTTGTCAAGAAATCGGATGGAAATGTTATTTACTTCAGCTTCAGAAACTTGCAAACTAAGAATGCCTCCAGATAGAATATCTACAGCTGATACCTGTATTATATAGTCAGAGCAGCAACATATGTGAACAATAATGATCATGAAACAATCACGCCTAAAGCCTGCAATGTGTAAAATCCCTTCAAGGCATAAACAAACTAACTTTCAACTTAAACTAACACATGAAATTGTAAAAGAATATAGATAAAGAACTAACCCTGCCAAAAAGGCCTCGTTCACCATACCAGCTATTGATGGATGATATTACTTCATCTAAATGCCTGAGATTGACAACTTTTCCTGCACAGCTTGACACCAAAGATCCAAAATAGTGGTCTTCTATGAGCACATTTTACATCGGTTCATAGATTGTTATAATCTACAATAATAATGTAAGAAATCCTACCATAGCCATCACGAAAAGCTTCCTCCAGAAACTTTGCAGGAAGGACATTAGCACCTTCACATACCAGCCCCTGAAACTCTTGATTTGGTTCTACCTTGTGCCATTACAAAATAACATTAATAAATACTCTCTTTAAAAATGTAAGAAGGAACTAGTTCATAACAATGAATTTCCAAAGTGGAAAGTTCACTGATCACTTAAGTGTCCTCCCACTCTGCTGTAGCTTCAAAAGAGGGTTCCTAGACATTTCTTATTTTTTCAAACTTACATGTGCATAATTTGTTTTCACAACTCCCAAGTGAGTTGTAGATAAGATCAAACATATAAAATAAAATTCGTTTTTTTGATAAGAAGACTATAAAATAAACATGATAAACTCAAAGTTCAACCGATTACATATCATCTTACATTAAAACTTATAAGTTGTTTCAAATTTCATCCCAGCTCGCCTTTCACTTAACACAAATCATTCCACGTCTTCCACCAGTATTAAGACTAATAGTCTTAGTCTCTCACACATAAAATCCTTCCCAATGGAAAAAATAAGCCAAGGAGAATTATCGTCATATTCCACTCATTCATGATCCTTCCTCAAATTCTATTGTGATAAAAAGCAAAACAAGTTCAAGCTGAACGACATTTATACCTGAAATATTAATCTTATTCCATCTCTGGTATCAACTGCAACGGGTATGCACGAGTAGAAATACCCACTATTGATAATCCTGTGCACATCTTCTTGAACCTCGCGCACAGTGAGCGCAGAGTTGGGTCTGCTCGCCTTCAAGGCGGTCAAAACCTCCATCTCGAGGTCCTTCCTCTCTAGCTCCTCACCGTCCTTATTTCTCACGAGAACCTCACTGATTAACACTCTCTCCTCATCCGGCCGACCAGCTGAATACCCCTTTTGAGGCGATTCCTTACTCTCCGAACCACTAGGCTGACTCCCCTCGTCAGACCGAGCCAAAGCCAATGAAGCTGAACAAAGAAGAGATGATTTTCCAACCAACCCCGTACTTTTGTCATCCATCCCCCGTTGCCTGCCTGAATGCTCCGCACGAGTTCCAGACTCAGCCTTATTCGATCCGTCAGATTGAATTAGCGACAATGACGCCGAACAAATTAAACTAGATTTATCAACAAACATTGCCCCACAACTCCCGCTTGCCCATCGACTAACCGAATTTCCTCGCTGAGTTATCTTCTTTGAACCCCAAAAGGGAAGCGATGGTGGCCAGAAATGGGGAATACTGTGGTTGAAATTAGTCAATTTCGACCCTCTCTTAACCGAATCAATGAACTGAAAAATTGAGTGACAGGATTGATCGAACTGCGAAGCCATATTTCTGAAACAGAAGCTGAAAGAAGAATGTGAGTTAGGCGGAGGAAGGTGTGGAACTCTAAGCGTAGCGCGCGAAGTAAAGACAATGTCATCGTTCGGTGGCATCTTGGTGGACTGATCGGATGAACGAGAAATGAGGTTCGAATTCTGCAAAATGGAAGCTCCTAATCCTTGCCTCGCCTAGACTTGAGAAGCAATCACTTGAATTTGAGGAATTGAATATAGGGTTTTGGAACAAAAGGGAAGGAGCGGCATAAACCCCAACAGAAAACCCGCGGGATGATCGAACTGGAACTGGTGAGTGCCCTGGCTGGTCCGAAACGATTTTGCGGTTTTTGAATTCGAGTCGGTTCACGAAACGAACCGTTTACCCGACTTGTACCCGACAATATGTTTGGGCCACGATTTGTAAATGCCCCAATGGGCCTTGAAGGAAGCCTTTTAGATCAATAGCCCAGTTGGAGTTTGAACTTTGAAAAAGGAGAAAATATAAGGAAAAAAATAATTAAATTAAATTTTAGAGGCCTAAGCTTTTAAAATATTTAATAAAAACATTGAATATTAAAATAGTAAAAAAAAAAAAAAAAAGAAAATAGAAGAAATTTTTTTATTCTTAATTATATATCTATTAAAATTTTAAACTTAAAAAATATTTAAATGTCTTTAATTTTTTTAAAAAAATTAATTGGAACGATACAAATATTTTGAAAATTAAAAAATCCATTTTCAAAGAATCTCTCCGTTAGTTGTTGTAAATAATGAAATATTTAAAATGGAAAAGGCTTCATTAAAGGCCAGAAAAAGGCGTTCCGTAAGTCGCGTGGCCCGGAGTTTACCTTCCTGGCATACGTCTTCGTCGTTCTCACGTTTGAATCTAAAGAACAAAAGCGAATTTTTCTCCTGGAGCATTCTTCGTTTAGGTCATCGAGAGGTAGGTCGTGGAGGAGTTGATTTTCTTCAATTCTTTTGTTTCACTACCTTGGTTCAAGCTGCAAATTTTGTTTCTTCCAGCAATTCCGAATAGTTGACCTGGTTGTAGGGATCTTTTTCATATATCCGACGCAAAGGCTGTCTTTCTAGGTTTTTTTATTTGGTTTAGTTTAGTGTAATCCGCCATGGGATTTTCCGAGATTCTCGCGATGCACTTTATTTGTGGATTAAGAAAGTGGAGTACAATGAAAGAACATGGAAATTGGCTTTTCGTTTATACTGGATCAGTGGTAGTCTTTGTTGCTCAATTTGTAACTTACTGAGAACGATTTGGATTTGATCAAGCTTAATGTAGTAGCGTTCCTATTCGTACCTGCGAGTCGAATCTCAGTTTTCCTTTATCTGCTACAACAAAATTGAGGGTTTCTACGCTTTAGAGGCTCGAAAATGGATAGCTCTGGTCTGGGAGGCGGATTTCTGTCTGGAAATGGGGGGTTATTAGATCTGGAGTCTCCAATTCGAAGGCATCAACAGACCCAGTTGATCAATACCTCATTGACACACAGACATCACTTGAAGATGATGAATACTTTGGAAGGTGATCACCAGTCCGTTGGGATTATGGACACAAAAAGAATGGGACACAAAGATTTATCGATGACTTTCACTAAAGGGAAAGCTATTGCCTCTGGTGGCGTCACAAACAACAGTAACACGAGTGAAGAAGATGAGCCTAGTTTTACTGAGGATGGCGAGTGCACTGAATTTTTGAAGGGCAAAAAGGGCTCTCCTTGGCAGAGAATGAAGTGGACAGATGACATTGTGAGGCTTCTCATAGCAGTGGTTGCTTGTGTGGGTGATGACGGTGAGGCTGGAATGGGCTCGAAGAGAAAATCTGGTATTCTACAAAAGAAGGGAAAATGGAAAATGGTGTCGAAGATTATGATAAGTAAGGGGTGTCATGTTTCTCCCCAGCAGTGTGAGGACAAATTTAATGACTTAAACAAAAGATACAAGAGATTGAACGATATTCTTGGCAGGGGAACCAGTTGTAGAGTTGTGGAGAACCCTGCACTCATGGATTCAATGCCTCACCTCTCAAGCAAAGTCAAGGATGATGTAAGAAAAATATTAAGCTCAAAACACTTATTTTATAAGGAAATGTGTGCTTACCATAATGGACAAACAATTCCTGGTTGCCAGGATGTTGATTTCCAAGGTAAGATTTTGCCTGTTGTTAATTTCTCGGAAGGAAATAATGAGTCAGAAGAGGCTGATGACAGTGATAGTGACAGTGATGAATCAGATAATGAGGATGATCACTATCCCGAAGAAAATAGATTATGGCCGGCTCAATCTCGTGGCAGGGATAAAGCGAGTGCAGATGATGGTCCTCTTTGGTCAAATACTTCTGCACAAAATGAACTTGAAGGTCAAATTGATGTTTTTCTTTCGGATCCAACAAAGCCACAATGGGAGCGCAGAGATTGGATTAAAAAACAGATGCTACAACTTCAGGAGCAATGTGTAAGTTTCCAGGCTCAATCTTTTGAACTTGAGAAACAACGTTTCAAATGGTTAAGATATTGCAGTAAGAAGAGTAGGGATTTGGAGAGAATGAGGCTTGAAAATGAGAGGATGAAAATAGATAATGAGCGGAGAGTACTGCAACTGAAGCAGAAGGAAATGGAACTGGAATTTAAAAGGTCTGATTCATCCTTTGGGCCAACCCTTGGCATTGATAGAATTCAAGGGTGAGATCAAATTGATTTGGGTATCCATTGAAAGCACACGAAAAACTGAAAAAGCCATCCATGTTTCAGAGTTGTGTTGCACGGGATTTTTATGATGCGAACAAATCCTTTTAAGCCAAATGCTTGTTATCATGCTAACCTTGTAAGCATGTTTATACTTATATTTCATTTTAGGATGGGCCTTTTCTTATTTTTGGTCCTTGGAACTTTCTGCTGTAAAGTTCAATGATTAATGTTAATTGGTTCAGTTTCCAATCGTTTCTGTTTTTTTCCTTCTTGAAGTACACCCATCTCTTTCTGAAGGATATAGACTTAGAATTTGTGGGATTCTATGGATTTATGTTAACATGCCAATCTGGTTGAACTACTTGTTCAGACGAACAATGTTGAAGCTCTTACTCCATTCGTGGATCATCTCAGATTCTCAGTTTTGGAGGTAATCAATGATAAGTTTTAGTACAAATTTGTTGTTTTGTCGATTTTCTGCATTTTGGCTCTCCATGTTTTTTGCTTTTAAAATTGGAGAAAGTGAACGTTCCTTGCTCCTCTACCTTGATGATCCCCTATAATCCTTCACTTGATAAAGAAAATGCTCGAGAACATTATGCCCCTTTTCCTGTGCGTGCTGCAAAACTGTATAAACTCAATTCATCAAGGTTTAGAGATGAATTAAATCTTCCTTGGATTATATGGGGCTGCCTACACGTGTGCTGGTTATTCTTTTTCTTTTTCTTCTCTTTTCCTCCCCCGTTCTTCGCATCTTTGCCATCATCGTTCTTCGCATCTTTGCCAAAATCTTTAGAATTTCGACTCGCCTGCATTCTACCGAAGGACATGTTAGTCCTAATCTGTCTTTTTTGTTTCTTCCTTTTGTGCAGTGTTCTTTTTCTTTTCATACCTTGATTGTAACTCATCGAACCATTCTCATGAATGTTCAGCCTCTAACTTTTATGGAATTGAACGCCCAACTCCATATGTGACTTCCTCGTTCTTTTGAATTCTTGTGTTCTATGCATATATTCACCAAGTTTTGATGGACCAATTCGTTTGATCATTTATTGGTTTGATATTAGTTCACCACATATTTAGAATACTCAGGGCTGTACACCTGAACGACCTTCTGTATAGGACGATTACAATTTTGTACTGAGACATAACATTGAGCTTGAGAATACAATTTAGTACCCTTCTTTGTTTGATCCTGAATGAAGATCAGATTTGAAGACATAACATTGAGCATGAGAATAAGAAAATGAAAAGGATGGAACGAAGAACATCATACATTTCTTCTTATTACATTCTACACTACATCATCGGCAGACATTGAATCTTGAATTAAAAGTAAAACTATTATTACGAAACATGTTCTATATTCTGCAGAGAGTTGGGTAGGCAATAATAGGCTGAACATGGTGTTCATTGTTGTAACTTTTGCAGACAGACCACAAGAATGGAGAATATGATTAATTGTTTCTTTCCTTGCACGCCATGTATCTTAGCTCCATGCTCTGCTCTGCTCATTCTTCTCTCCCACTCATATTTTCTCACTTTTGGCCATTTCTTTGACAGATCGCAGACTTTAATAGCTATCAGCGGGAGGGGGCGCCCTTCAGAAAATGATTGAACGACAAAATCATGGCAATGGATGAACTCTCTTTTCTGACAGTGTCAGCTGCGGTTTTACTGAGATGATCATCTAAAAAAGTTCCCAAATAATGAGTTTTCAAGTGTAATCTTTTGACCTCCATTACATTCCGTACTGAGAAACACGCTGTTAAGTTGAACTTAATATAGAATTTTCTTTAACTTTGAGGTGAATTTAAAGCCACCCATTTCATTTCTCTGTTGATTTCTAAACAAAAGATGCAAACTTTGGTAAGCAGCCGCAAAGATTCAAGACATTGTCAGCCTCCACACCTACTCTCTTTTCAGACTTGGTAGAGTGGTTTTGGTGGTTAAAACGACCAAATTCCTTGTCAATTTTAATTTCCTTCTGAGTATTGTTCAATGATTTTCAGTATTATTGAAGACTATTTCCTTTCAATTTTTGGGATCTAACTATGATTTTAAAAATTAGTATTCAGACAAAAATAAATAAATAAATAAATAAATAGAAATAATTGCTTCAAGATCTATATCTATAGATCAACAATGGTAGCCTTGTAGGGTAGATGATCAAACAATCCATCTTTGAGATGGAACAGATGCTTTATTGACTAATTATGTTCGGATTTTTATGTTTTTAATAAGAATTTTTATACGGATTTTTATGATCGATTTTTTTTATTATAATAATTATATAATAGTTGAGTTATCGACTTTTAAATTATAAAAATGAAAAATTATAAAATAATTAATGTCTTATCTATGAAGTTAGGGCGCGCGTAATTATTGTAAAAGATACATTAGTGGGGGTGAAGTGCAAATGCAGTTGATCAAAAAGGCACCAACTCGAAGGTTGGCTTTTGAGCCACGTCATTGCACATGCCTTGGTTAAAGGTTCCAAAGACAGACAGCGTGTTAGAGAGAGAGCGTTTTCAGTTATAGGCAGCCCATCTTATTTCTCATCGCTTTCCATTTTCCCTCCCACATTCTGCACAGAAATCAGAGGCACCAAGAGGAAAGTAGAACTGCTCAACCGCTGCGCAGAACCCGCCATTGTTGGTTTCTTTCTTTCCTTCATTGTTCTCTGACACTTGCAATGCATTCTATATCGGTTTCTTTCATCTCTTTTCTTAATTGTGTTTGATTACTGATCTGCTCTCACTCCTCCTCGCTGAAACTGTGTAATCTCCGCCTTGCGAGTGAGAAATGAGAGGACAGAGGTTTGAATCAGAACACTACTTACTACAATGGAATAGTCCTTTTTTTTTTTTTGTACTGTTTATTGCCGGAGATTAAATTTATGGATTAAATCTCGAATAGAAACCAACTGTTTAATTTCTGCGTATCTCTACTCGAGGTCGAGGACTTGTAGCACATTAGATTTTCTCTTTCTCCTGGAGCTTTCTGATAGCTTGACCAAATGGGGCCATCTATCAAATGTCGATTTTAGATGACAATATGATTCTTGTAGATATGACTCTTTTTGTGTTTCGGATCAGCTTTAGAAATAGTTTCTCATAGATTGGCACCCGCAAATGAAAATAAAATATATCTCCTGGAGCTTTCAAACAGCTTAACCAAATGGTGAAGTGCATGCAGTACTTTATTTCGCTTGTGATCTAGAATTACAATTGCAATTGCTTTCTTTTTCTCGTTGTCTTCATTTTATTTCTAATTTTTCTTATTTGCAGGTGTGGCTCAAGGACAGGTACTTTACTGGGGATTAGGCTTAAATTTATTGCATGAAGTTTTGTCAAGAATGGGTTTGCAAAACTTTCAGGAAGATTAGGTTTGTTACTGCCGATATCTTTTCCCTTTGATGCAATATTACTTTTGCCTGAAGAATATTCCTGTTGAAACAGAGTTATCTAAAATGAGCTGGAACTCAAACATCGAGGTTCATTGCATGAATAATGGTTATCCTTACAGCACGGCTTCTTTTATGGAGTACTTTGAAGGTCTCACATATGATCATGTGAATTTCATTTTTTCTGCTCCCTCACATTCTGAGGTACTAAATCTCTTTGATTTTGGATGGCTTCATTGGATCTCGTCTGTGAACTAGATTGATTGAACTCATTTAGATGCTGTTTTCTCTGTGCCTGCCATTCTGTAGCACTATATCGAAAATAGCCATGATGCGATCGTGCCCAATCCACTGTTTCTTTGCATTGTTGATGTCTTTTTGGATAATCTCTTTATCTCTTTCAAATTGCTTCCCTCCTCTTAATATTTGTTGACAATTGACCAACCAAGAAGAAAAGGAAATCAATCCACATTTCATCTTCTAATTACTGATGCATCTTGCTTTAACTTCCTGATGCATGCTTGATTAGACATTCATTCCAAGATTAAATAGTCAATATGTCTAATTTTTTTAATTCCAAATGTATGCAATGAATTCCTTAACATGCGATTATAATATTTTCATTCTTTCATTCAGGAGACTGTTTGTCCAGCAACTAATTCAAGTTATTACAAGTTTGAGCATGCTGATTCTTGGAGTGCTTCATGCTTTGATACTCAATCATTTGAGGTACAAGGTCATGAATCCGTTATTGATGAACATAGGATGCAGCAGGAATTCTCGACAGTCCCGGATGAACAGAGTTTAGGAAATAGAGTACGGGAAGAAAATGTGAATCCTGATATGGCCAGCAATAGCATGGAATGTAAGAATTGAGATCTAATTTGTTTCAATTCTCTAGCATATTTGTTTGTTAATTTGAAGTTTCCCTAGTTAAAATAATTGATCATCAATTCAGATATTGAATGTAAATGTTCTATAAAATTACATGCTGCAAAGATTGTGGTTAATGACTCTATTTTGATTTTTTGTCTATTATTTTTTCTCTGTTTGTGAGTTAATAAAATTTTTTTTTTTTAAAAAAGCTATTTTTTGTCTTTTTTTTTTCTTAACATTCATGGTTGTTTGCCTCTAGACCTCTTTAAGATGCAATTAAAATATTATGGAATTTTAATTAATAGTTCCCAATTCAAGTATCTTCCGTTGCTTTTTCAGGCCCTCGGAGGCATTCAAATTATCACGAGTATCAGGTCTGCAGCTTTTGATTCATGAAGTTTTATGCCATTAAGTTTACAGATTTAGTTTTATTGTAAGGTTGTTAATGAATTATCTCACTTTTGGCTTGTGTCCTTGTATTTTGTGGGTATGCATGATTGCAATCACGCACATGCTTGTGCTGTTGCATAAAATAAAATTATTCTTCTAAGACGTAAGATTGGCTCATCTGAAATTACTGAAAGAAAGTCGAGGTAGAGAATAGAGTAGAAATTCATTTCTAACCCAATGCCTACAATCTAGTTGGTGGTTCAGATTTCCTTACTACTTTTGGTTCCAGCTTTTTATTCAAGGCCTTATAGACCTGGAACTGACTTCTAAATAAATGCATTCCCTAATCAGTTCCACTTTGAAATATGCAGACTATTTGGCAAGATATTATTGATCCTGATAACATGACCTATGAGGTTAGTGCGGCAGATAGTTTTCTTTCCTTGTTATTTTTGCTTATCCCCACTCAAATATTCTTCTCCTGTAAATTTGCATGTTTAAGTGTTCTTCACTGCCTATTTATTATATAAATATTGCTAATTGAACTGTTATTAACTTACTATTGGTTGCTAAGAATTCCTTGCTGATGT